AATCAGCAGCAGTGGTCATATTTCAGCGCTGCTAGTTGCATACAGGGTAAACACTGCACGGCATGCTGTTTTCTCTCAGTGTCCGATAGCTGGTGGTTAAGCTAACACAAGCTAATCATTCAAACGCAGTTCAACTGTCCATTTCTGTTGCACATTCACCCACACTCATTTGGATATCAGGCTGTAACAGACACCTAAACAACATGTGCTTGGAAGTAACGTTGTGTGTGTGTGTGTGTGTGTGTGTGTGTGTGTGTGTGTGTGTGTGTGTTGATTTGTTAAATGCTAACTTATGCCAAGTTGTTGCCACAAAAAATAAATAAATACTAGAAATGTCCGTCAAGCCAGAAATCCGGCGCCACGCCGGAGTACTTTAAGCCCTGAGTATGAGACTCTGAACTGACACAAACTCATCAAGGAAAATCAATAGATTAATCAATAATGTGTGTCACATGATCAGTTTCCTGTGTTTTTCAGAATAAAAGAATCCCTTCTCTTGACTTTTGGAGTCTTTTCTGGAGAGCGTCAGCCATGTTGGAGCCGTGTGTGTTTACAGCTCAGCTCGTATCCTGGATGGAAGAGGAAGCCATATTGAAAAAGGCTCTCACGGGGCTGAGTAATATACGAGCGGTGACAGAGGAGGCTGATTATTCCTCTCTCAGCACATTTCACCTCCTGTCTGTCTGTCTGTCTGACAGAATTGTAAAAAAAACTATTTTATAAAAACACAGATATTTGTTTTACAACATTTAAGCAGTGACACACAGACGCAGGTTTTTAAGGATTATAATTACATTGTCTTGCAAATTTTATTGTTCTTATTAAAAATGTATTTGTTTTTATATGTTTACATTTGTCGTCTTTGTTTGTCGCATTATGTCGATTTGTACACTGAGGTTAATTTCCTTGTGTCGTTGGCCAATAAAGCGGATTCTGATATTTATACTGAATATATATATTTACCACAAACACATGAGTTTCTAATTAAGCATCAGAGCGGATTTGTAACTCTGTCATCTTCTTTCATCGATAGGTTCAGATTTAAAGCTTTTTAAACAATTTTAACTGTATTTCATTTAGAAAATGTTTCTTTCGATTGGACGACATTTAACTTTTGAATGAAAATATATATACA